GACTGTGCTTATGAAGAGAATGTCCCTGTTTGTAGAAAACGTTACCCCTACTATTTAAAAATATTAGAGGAAGGGGATCCTGGATGGATCATCAGGCTGCAAACTAATTCTCTAATGTATCTTCAAATTTTCTAAAAATTTAAGATTATTTAAAATTAAAAAAAAAAATACAGAATACATTGGTCCTTCTGATGCAGTAGTTCACACGTGGTTTAGCCTCCTGGAGCAAAGCAGAGTGAAGAAGGCTGAAAGGTGAATGTAAGAGGACAAGGGAAAGATATCCCAGTTACTCCCCAATGCCTCCTCATGTCCATTTGACACTGTTGCCTGTATACAACCTGCATGTGATGATCTTTTAAGGATTTTCTATTTTCTGTCTATTCCCTGGCTCTTTCCTATACTCTTTCTTATCCACATCCTCTCAGGAATAGAAGTCTTTTACGTAAGACTGTATCTCACAGTCTTATCAAATCCCATAGTTGACACCATAATCTGTGTAGATGTTATATAAACTAATTCCATATTCTTCCATTTTAAAACTTGAGTATTACTTCTCTACATTTCTCAAAGTAGAAGCATCTCAATCCAACAGGTTACAACCAAACTCAATACCTATCCCACTACAGTGGGCACTGTTAATGGACTATCAAGATTCTCCCCCACCCCCACTGCATATCCTCTAACATAGCTTCCTAAAAACTAGATTTCTAAAGTATGCTTAACCTCTATCACAACACACCATTTTACTTGAGGAGACAGCACATGAGGTTCAAGAATAGGTCTACCTGCTTTAAACTAATTTGCATATTCCATTTCCTTAGCTAGAGGCATTGTTTAAGAAGTGTTCATGTGATCTAAGTAGATCGTTAGAGTGAATCTTAGGTCTTTTCTTTGAAATACTGGGACAGAAGTATTTTCCCCATGAATGTGAACCAAGAGGCAAGTACCCATTTTTTTATTCAGGTAGCCATCCTACCACAAAGGAATTAGAATTAAAAAAAGCCTATTTTTAAAACTGATTATTAGTTAAATGGGTTCTGGATAATAACTGGATCCTAGGACCAATAACCAGAAACCCACTCTAACTTCTCTCTTCTAATTACCTCAGTCAATAAACCCCTTTACATTTAAGTCAATTTGAGTTTGATTTTTTGTTACTTGCAGTGTAAGTGTGTGAAGGAGAGTAAACTTAAATATAAAACGAGATGCGAAAATGGCATAAAACTAGAAGTTAAAAAATACACATGTATAATTTATATATAATACAAAGCCTCTGTAAAACAAAAAAAAAGTAGAAATATGGAAAAAAAATTCCAGACACATTGGCATCATGACAGTTGTCACTGGCAAGCAAGATAAATGGGAAATCGAGATTCCGTATTTTGCAGATATAATAAGTGAATGATCTCCAGCTCTCTAAAGCCCGGAGTCAGAGGCTGGTAGGGGCTGCTTCAGGGGAGAAATCTGGCAGAAATCTGGGAAGCCAAAGGAAGGAAACAAGAAACCTGGGGCTTTCAAATTCTGTAAAAATATGTACAGACAAGCTTTTGTACAAGCGAAATTGTGAAATATTTCATGGAATTAGAGTACTTTCTATTGGGTTCAAATAAATCTATGCAATCAGATTCACATCTCCATTCTTTTTCTACTCATTCTGGCCCAGAAAATGGTGGAGTTCATTCCCATTTGGATATCTCTACGCTGTCATGAAACAGCAGCAGTTGTGGGAGCTTGCTGAGTCAGGTCGCCTGCCCCTTTCTGATAGGACAGAGGGTTCAGCTCACCTCCAGGAAGGCACACACAGAGAGAGACAAGAGAGAGCTCTGCATTTCTCCGTATCAAATGGTTAGGCCCACAGGGCCTTTAGGTCCTCCCAAGTCATCCTAGATAAAATCTCCAGTTGCCTTCTAGACTTTTTACAACCGTATCCCTAGGGCAATCTGTCATATATTCCTACTTTTGTAGGTTGAAACTACGTCTGGAATTCAGTCCTTTCTTTTCATTTCCAAGGCCAATGCCCAAGGTCAGGCCCTTATCTCATATCTCAACTACTGAATTGTTTCTTATCCAGTCTCTCTTATCTTTCTGCCTGTCCAATTCATCATTTACAGGGCTACTAGCTCCTAAGAGAAATTAATGAATGCATTTTATTTATCCCTTTTTTTCTCCCCTATGTCCAGGCACAGAAAAATTTGCTTAAGTTATTCTATGCATCCCATTTCTCACTTGAAAAAATCTCTGACGGTACCCAGTTTCCAGAGAAGCTCAAAGAGCTTAATATGCAACCTCATCATCAAGGTTGTAAACCATACTCCCCTTTAGAAAAATACCTCACTATCCTCCTCACCCCCGACTGGATGCACCAGTCACTGGGTACTACCGTATCTTCTGGAACACAAAAGCAGCAAATCTTTACAAAAGATAGGTTCTTCCTCTATAAAATTTACTTTTCCTTGGCTCTAAGTACAAAACACCTATTAGTTTTTCAAGGCTCAACTTAAATATCTTTTCCACCATAAAATCTTCCCCAATACCAGTTTCAGATTAAATTTCTTCATTCCCTGTGCCTTCAGAAGACTTTCTTTTTACTACTATTCTGACGTTTATGTTGCTTTGCTATATCACCTCGTCCAGGTTGACCTAGTTATTAGATTTCTTACCTAGTAATGAGCTAAGTGAACTGTATTTCAGCATGAAGTTAGCTGTTACTTCTCCACAAGATTTATTCTTACATCCTTTGTATTTAGCAAAGTGCATATAGTACACAATACATGTCTGGTCAATACTGCTTGAATAATTTGCCAGTGGACTAAATGTGATATGAGGACAGGAATTGTGCCTTATTCATTTATACTTCTTACAGCGACTAGAAAGAAATGAGGAACAGCAACTGTTTAATAAAGTTGAATAAAATACTGGGCCTAGAATGGCCATCTGGGTTACCAGAATATTTGGCTAAATCGAGGACAATTTGTCATTTCTTCATTCCAAAAGATTTACTGAGTATCTTGTATGTGTTAAATCTTATTCTAGGAGCTGGGGATAGAATTGTAAACAAGATTAAACCACATGCACTTTGAGGCGGAGAAAACAGTTCTAGAGCTAAGAGATCAGGCTCTCCCACCATCCCCAAATAAAGTTTTCCTTAACTCGGGAGCTCAGTTCTTAGCCACAGAAATTTGAAAGCTGAGAGTCATTAGTACCTTCTCCTTATTTTGACAAGCGTTATTTGACAAAATGTAAAATTGCTACCACTGGATGATGGTGGTGATGGTGATGATCACATTATCTTCCTCTTTAATTTCAATGTTATTCTCCAAATTCAAGCCCTCATTTTGCCTTTTTGGAACAACTAAAATTGCTTCCTAACAACTCTTTCCACTTTCATGCTTCCCATCTCTACATTCCCTTTCAAAAATTTTAAGAATAATTTTCTTAAAAAGCAACAATCTTACTATATTATAGCTATGCTCAAAAGCCCTCAATGGCTTTGCAAACACAGGGAGAACACTGTTCAGACTCCTTAGCCTCACACTCAAGGAATCTTCCAAAATTGATCCAATTTGTCCAGATTCTTTTGCACTGTTCTTCCTACAGTCTATACTCCCACAAAATTAGCTTTGGATTTTGGATCTTTGCACCTTTCACTGGGTACATTTCCATCTATCTTATTCAAATCTGCCCACATCTCAAGGCCCAATTCAAGGACCTTAAATTTGTCTCTGATTTTTCCCTTCCGCATAGGAAAGCTCAATATACTTTGTGGTTTCTCCTCTAAGCACACCTGCTTCTACCTCATATTTTGATTATTCACAAATATAGCCTATATATCTAACCAAAGCATATATAATTATCAATAAATACTTCACAGGCACTTACTATATTTCCGTTACTCCAAAAACACCTAAAATATACCATATTCGTAGTAAATATTAAACAAATTTCCATGTAATGAAAGCAAACTCCCAAACAGAAATGTACCCAAAATGAAAATAATCTTTTCCTAAATCTGAACAATAATCTCAACCAAAGAGATACATCTGAGTGCTAGAAAACTGTAGCTCATCACACTTTAAATATATATAAAAGGAGGCAGCTAAGTTAGTAAAAAAATAAAATCAAATAAAAAGCTAAGAAAATTTATTCAAAGTAATAAGGAAATATTGACTCAATCTCGCCCATTTCAGTATATGGATGTACCTCTCATTTTGTGATGCAAATACATAAACACACACACACATTATGTCCATCAATAGGAAACTATACACAGTGTCAAAATTTATTGAAATAAGAATCACAAGGAAATTTTCCTAGTTGCCATTTAATAACTTTTGTAAAATTTAATAAAAGTTTATGTGATGAAATATTTTCTCCTTTTCTTCTCTAAGGGAACAGCTTTAGATGATTGATGCCCAGTATTATGGGTCTCTATTTGTATTTCCTTATTTTAGAAGCTTTTCAAAATACAAAAATAAACTTAAAGCATTTCCAGTTATACTAAAAAGATAAAAGGTGATTATTTATAGGCAATCATATTCATGATGATAGACTCTCAGAAGGCAACTGCAAACATAAATTTTAAATGCTTTTTGGAAAGAGTTGAGAATAAAAACATTTACATAATTTCTTAGAAACCCTGGCTTTTTATTGCTGCACTTCAATATTCCCTCCAGGCAAAGGAGCAGCTACTTCAAAGATTTATTTGATAATGGAATGTTTGATTTCTCTGTTTTCCCCTTCCAATGTGGAAAGGTCTGTTGTTTTCACTCTATAGCAATGTGCTATATTTTAAAATTTGAATTGGCTCTCAACTGATAATAAAAATGGTTCTGTTTTGGCAAATTAAACATACCAATGCTAGCAATGAATATATATATTACAAATATACTATATTTTTATAAAATGGTCCATCCATGTATCAGTCATCTTTGATAAGAGAACTGCCATTTCACAATAATACAACTAGTGACTAATATCAAATGTCTAAAACTCCTACTTACCTGCCTATCCACTTCTGGGAGCAAAAGCAGGAGGTATTGTTGAAAATGCTGAGGTAAGGAAGCAAACGTATGTTTATTTATTAATGCCCTCAAGTTAGTGTTGACAAGAATAGATCCTGGGGTTTCTATGTCAATGTCCTCAGCTTTGGTCCATTTCAAGTGTCCTGTGATAAACAAGCAAGAGCATTAATTCCCTGTAGGCTGGGAAAGACATGCACATGTACATACACATATATGTACATAGCAAACATATTCAATATGTTTAATTCTGTCACTTTTAAAAGTGACATTTCAGAAAAACTTTCTAAAGCTTCTTTGTGTTTCTGCCTTATCTTAGTTGTCTTTTATTTTCATAATGTATCTTTCACTCAATATCATCTACATACCTTTTATAGATGTTACTCAAAGTAGCACCAGGTGTAGATAAAGAAGTATTTTAATTATGGTCTTCCAATTAATCAGAATTGTAAAATACTCTGGTAGCATAAATGGTAACAACTACAATTTTTATAGATTCTATAAGACCTAGGATTAATAAGAAGTAAAACAGTTCTATTAATTTTAGATATTGATAGCTAGCTGATAGCTGTGTGATTCCCCATGTATCAAGTGAAGCACAAAGCACTGGATTATTTCAAAAGATTCCTATTCAGGGTAATTGGAGGGTAATAATTTAAAAATCGATCCTCTGTTAAAAAAAATACTAGCTTCAAGGTCTAAAATACCAATACACTTTGAAGGATAATTTTACAACTCAGGGTACACTGACCTCCAATAGAAGGCTGTGTGTAGAGTTCACAACTCAAGATTATGACATACAAGAAAATAATCCACTACAAGGAAGTCAGTTGATGCATCAAACAGAATTGCCGTTTTCAGTTACGTGAGTTAAAAGAACACCTTGAATGTGAGTTGTTTTATTAGAGTATGTTTTAAATCAAGGGTCAGCAAATTATGGCCCATGAGCTATATCCAGTCCAATTTTTGTTCTGGTAAATAAAGTTTTACTGGAACATAGTAAATGTCCAATTGTTTGGCTACTCTCGAGGTCTGCCTTTGCACTACAATGCAGAATTGAAGAGTTGTGCCAGAAATAGCATGACCTGTATTTACTCTCTAGCCCTTAACAGAAAAAAACAAAACAAAACAAAACCTGTCAACTCTTGTTTTAAATAAGTAGAGACAAAAGACAGAATAAAGCCATTATTAATAAACAGGAAACCATGATGAAAGAATACGCAACTTTGAAACAGAACCAGACAGAACATCTAGAAATGAAAATTTAGTTCTTAAATTAACAAATGTAATGGACACAGTAGAGGAAAGACTTACTAAATAATTAAAATACAGAGATAGCGAAAATATCTAGAATGGAGCATTAGAAAATGATGAGTCAAAAAACAGGATAGTGAAGAAATATGGTGAATGGCATAAACAGTCAGAATGAACATCTACAGGAGTATCAGAACAGTGGCCAGAAGACTGGCAATATTTGAAGAGCTAATGGCTAAAATTTTTTTAACTGAAAAAAATGGTAAGAGTTCTCAGGTAATGAGGGGGATGCTCTCAAGGAAAGGTTGCAAGGAACAAAGATACCAGAGACACCACCACAAACATGAACCCTACAAAAGATACAAAGACTCTAAACCCACATATTTCAATAATAACACTGAATGTAAATGGGCTGAATGCTCCAATCAAAAGACATAGGGTAGCAGAATGGATTAAGAAACAAAATCCATCAATATGCTGTCTACAAGAAACTCATTTTAGACGGGAAGATACCTTCAGATTAAAAGTAAGGGGATGGAGAAATATATATCATGCTACAGGAAATCAAAAGAAAGCCGGAGTAGCGATACTTATATCAGACAAACTGGACTTTAAATTAAAGACAATCACAAGAGATGAAGAAGGGCACTACATAATAATTACAGGGTCCATCCATCAGGAAGAACTAACAATCATAAATGTCTACGCACCGAATATGGGAGCACCTAAATATCTAAAACAATTAATCACAAACAGAAACAAGCTTATAGATAAGAATGTGCTAATAGCAGGGGACTTTAATACTCCGCTTACAGCAATGGATAGGTCAACCAGACAGAAAATCACTAAAGAAATAATGGACTTGAAAGACACATTGGACCAGATGGATCTGACGGATATATTTAGAACTTTACATCCTGAGGCCAGGGAATTTACTTTCTTCTCAAGTGCGCATGGCACATTCTCCAAGATAGATCACATACTGGGACATAAAGCAGCCCTCAATAAATATAAAAGAATAGAGATCATACCATGCACACTGTCAGATCACAATGCTTTGAAACTTGAAATCAATTACAGGAAGAAGTCTGGAAAACCGCCAAAAACATGGAGGTTAAAGAACACCCTTCTAAAGAATGAATGGGCCAATCAGGCAATTAGAGAGGAAATTAAAAAATATATGGAAACAAATGAAAATGAAAACACAACAATTCAAAATCTATGGGATGCGGCCAAGGCAGTCCTAAGAGGAAAGTACATTGCTCTCCAGGCCTATTTCAAGAGATTAGAAAAAGCACAAGTCCAAAATCTAACAGCTCACCTAAAGGAGCTAGAGGCAGAGCAACAAGAACGCCCTAAACCCAGTAGAAGAAGAGAAATAGTAAAAATTAGAGCAGAAATAAACAACATAGAGACCAAAGAAACAATTGAACAGATCAATGAAACCAAGAGTTGGTTTTTTGAAAAAGTAAACAAAATTGACAAACCTCTAGCCAGGCTTATCAAAAAGAAAAGAGAGAGCACCCAAATAGACAAAATTATGAATGAAAATGGACTTATTACAACCAACCCCTCAGAAATACAAGCAATTATCAGGGAATACTATGAAAAATTATATGCCAACAAATTGGACAACTTAGAAGAAATGGACAAATTCCTAAACACACACTCACTACCAAAATTCACACGGGAAGAAATAGAAAACCTGAACAGACCCATAACGAGTGAAGAAATCGAATCAGTGATCAAAAATCTCCCAACAAATAAGAGCCCTGGACCTGATGGTTTCCCTGGGGAATTCTACCAGACATTTAAAACAGAATTAATCCCAATTCTTCTCAAGCTATTCCAAAAAATAGAAGTCGAAGGAAAACTCCCGGACTCATTTTATGAAGCCAGCATCACTCTGATTCCCAAGCCAGACAGAGATCCAACAAAAAAAGAGAACTATAGGCCAATATCCTTGATGAATACGGATGCAAAAATTCTCAACAAGATCCTTGCAAATCGAATCCAGCAGCATATCAAAAGAATCATCCACCAAGATCAAGTGGGATTCATTCCTGGGTTACAGGGCTGGTTCAACATTCGCAAATCAATCAATGTGATCCATCATATCAATAAAAGAAAAGATAAAAACCATATGATCCTGTCAATAGATGCAGAAAAAGCATTTGACAAAATACAGCATCCCTTCTTAATAAAGACTCTCGAGAAAGTTGGGATAGAAGGAACCTACTTAAACATCATCAAAGCCATCTATGAGAAGCCTTCAGCTAACATCATCCTCAACGGGGAAAAACTGAGAGCTTTCCCCCTGAGATCAGGAACACGACAGGGATGTCCACTCTCACCACTGTTGTTTAACATAGTGCTGGAAGTCCTAGCATCAGCCATCAGACAACAAAAGGAAATCAAAGGCATCAGAATTGGCAAAGAGGAAGTCAAACTTTCACTCTTCGCAGATGACATGATACTCTACATAGAAAACCCGACAGACTCCACCAGAAGCCTACTAGAACTGATCCAAGAATTCAGCCAAGTTGCAGGGTACAAAATCAACGTACAGAAATCGGTTGCATTTTTATACACCAATAATGAAGCAACAGAAAGAGAAATCAAGAAACTGATCCCATTCACAATTGCACAAAAAACCATAAAATACCTCGGAATAAACCTAACCAAGGATACAAGAGATCTGTATGATGAAAACTATAGAAAACTTATGAAGGAAATTGAAGAAGACACAAAGAAATGGAAAAACATTCCATGCTCATGGATAGGAAGAATAAATATAGTTAAGATGTCATTACTACCTAAAGCACTCTACACATTCAATGCAATTCCAATCAAAATTGCACCAGCATACTTCTCAAAACTAGAACAAACTATCCAAAAATTTGTATGGAACCACAAAAGACCCCGAATAGCCAAAGTAATACTGAAAAATAAAACCAAAACGGGAGGTATCACCATCCCAGACTTCAGCCTCTACTACAAAGCTGTCATCCTCAAGACAGTATGGTATTGGCACAAAAACAGACACATAGACCAATGGAACAGAATTGAGAACTCAGAAGTGGACCCAAAAGTATACAGCCAACTGATCTTTGACAAAGCAGGAAAGAATATCCAATGGAAAAAAGACAGCCTTTTTAACAGATGGTGTTGGGAGAACTGGACAGCAACATGCAGAAGAATGAAACTAGATCATTTTCTCACACCATGCACAAAAATCAACTCAAAATGGATAAAGGACCTGAACGTGAGACAGGAAACTATCAACACCCTAGAGGAGAAAGCAGGAAACAACCTCCTTGACCTCCACCGCAGCAACTTCTTACTTGACACATCCCCAAAAGCAAGGGAATCAAGAGCAAAAATAAACTGTTGGGACCTCATCAAGATTAAAAGCTTCTGCACAGCCAAGGAAACAACCCAGAAAATTAATAGGCAACCAACGGAATGGGAAAAGATAGTTGCAAATGACATATCAGATAAAGGGTTAATATCCAGAATCTATAAGGAACTCACCAAACTACACGCCCGAAAAACAAACAACCCAGTGAAGAAATGGGCAGAAGACATGAACAGACACTTCTCCAAAGAGGACATCCAGATGGCCAACAGACACATGAAACGATGCTCAGCATCCCTCCTCATCAGGGAAATACAAATCAAAACCACACTGAGATACCACCTCACGCCAGTCAGAGTGGCTAAAATGAGCAAATCAGAGAACTCTAGATGCTGGCGAGGATGTGGAGAAACGGGCACCCTCCTACACTGTTGGTGGGAATGTAAACTGGTACAGCCCCTCTGGAAAACAGTGTGGAGGTTCCTCAGGAAACTAACAATAGAACTCCCCTATGACCCAGCAATAGCACTGCTA